AGGAGGGTTGGACTAGATGACCCACAGAGGTCCCTTCCAACCCCTACTATTCTGTGATTCTGTGATTCTGTGATTCTCCGCCCCAAAGAGCTGCAGTTGGAGATGGGCAGCCCAGCCCGACGCCCACGCGCTGAGTCCACCTACCACGACCACTCCGTAGTGGATGTGCGCCAGGGTGAGGAGAGCGGTCAGCACGTAGAGGAGCAGCGTTTCGCTGCCGGGCGCCAACCCAGACATCACCACGCCGAGCACCGCCGCGATGGGGAGCAGCATCCAGTTGAGAGGCTGGCAGCGCGTGCTGCTCATCTGACAGACGATCAGCTGGCACTGCGGGAAGAGAAAGCGGTCGGAGCTCGCACCCGGTATCGGCTCTGGAAGCTCAGAGCTGCCCACGGTCACACACGTCCACGCACCAAACGTCTGCGCTTACAGTTGCCATCACGCCGTTTCCCCCCCCGAGTTTCTCACTCGGGATATTTCTTTGCATTAGAATTCCTGCAGGACACACCGAGCAAAGCCCTGTGGGGCAGGAAGGTAATTAGGGAATCAGGCATCCAGGGCATCGTTAAAAGAAAAAGGAGTTCCCTTGAGCTGACACGGAGCCTCGCCAGCACGATCTGCACGATCAGCAGAAAATCCTGCCATGAAGCAGCGCGAGCTGCTGGACCCGGGGCACGACACAGAGCCGCTCGGCCACACGTCTGAGGTGACGAGTACAGGTGCCTCTGTTCAGGTCTCCAGCAAGCACAGATGCAATAGGCAGCTAAATCAGATTTTTACAAAGGATTTAGCCCCCCACATTTTAAGTTTCTCCCCAAAAATAAAGCAGGAACTCCTTCCATGCTTGCAGTTTGCTATTCACAACACAGAGGATGCGTGTGTGTGTAAACACACTCCATTTAACTAATTCTCTAGTTTCTCAAGAGAGCTGCAGCACAAAATTCGCAGACCCCAGACCCTGTCTGCTTTCCTGTTTGTTCTTTCATTCACAGCAAAATGGAAAAGCTGCTCAGCTAATCTTCACGTCTCCCTTCTCACATCTGAGCTGGTCTTTCTCCTCCTGCGTCCCACGCGTCCTGGCAGGCTCCACGCTTCCCAGGGCACAAACGGGAGCGTAAAGCAAAAGCTGCTTACAGAAATGTTAGCGAAGGCTGTTCCAACCATGAAGTAGAAGAGCCTGGGATGGACCTCCAGGATGTCTGTCGGGGACACGAAGATCCAGGTGGTGCAGAGCAGGAACAGCAACACTGGGGACACCAGCGGCAGCACGATTTCATACACAGAGTGGTGTTTCAAGGTGTTATTTTCATAAGCCCTGAAAGGCAAGCAAAGACATGAAAATACCTGGAACCACAGCTAAGAAATACCTTGGATGAAGAGTCAGAGTGTACCCTCAGGCAGTTTGCTGATGACACCAAACTGGGAGGAGTGGTGGATACCCCGGCAGGCTGTGCTGCCATCCAGCGAGACCTGGACAGGCTGGAGAGTTGGGCAGAGAGGAACCTGATGAGGTTCAACAAGGGCAAGGGCAGGGTCCTGCACCTGGGGAGGAACAACCCCAGGCACCAGGACAGGCTGGGGCTGAGCTGCTGGAGAGCAGCTCTGTGGAGAGGGACTGGGAGTGCTGGGGGACGACAGGGTGACCATGAGGCAGCAGCGTGGCCCTGGGTGCCAAGAAGGTCAGTGGGATCCTGTGGTGCATTCAGAGGAGGGTGGGCAGCAGGTCAG